ATCCAAACTACAAACCGGTGTCTTCGTCGTGGACGTTTCCTTTTCTTGTCTCTTGTTTGCTTTTGTGTCGACTTTGTAATTGTCCGCTAATGCCTGGAACTTCTGGTCCGGTACGACTTTGTGCGCAGCTCGCCGAGCCGACCGGGCGGTGCGGCCGAGCCTTGCAGGTCGAAGAGAATAGCAAGCCGGTGTGTTGTCGAACCCTACACATCCGGAACTCCTTTCCAGAGGTCGCGATTTGCAAATGCTTGCACCGTCAAGACCATGTGCTGCGCAATTGGCGGCTCCATGCCGAATCCAGCTTTGACTAGGCTGCCTGAAAGATGCTGGAGCATGTGAAGCACAGCTGCGGCAGACCACTTTTGCCGAAGCGAGCCATCAGGAGATCCAAAACCACGGCACTGATGGTGAAGTCTGTCAGAACGGACCTGGCGGTTGCCAGTTTCCGACAAAGGAAGCATCGGCACACATGGCGGGTAGGCATGGTCAAGTGACCACGTAAATGTTTTGCATGTCTGCATGTCTGGCGAGCGCATGCCCCGACTGGAGGCTTTGGAAGGGCCACAATGAACGTCGAGCAAAGATTTCCTTCATCCTGCAGCGTTTGCCTTGTTGCTCGGAGAATTGGGGCCAAGCTGAGCTCCAGTGCCGAGCGGTTGAGAATCAGACCCCGGTTGAGGGTAGGTAGAGTACAGCTGGTCGCCTTACGTGCAGCGTTCTTTCTTTCCCAACTCTTACACTGCAGCCATAGTTGAAATAGCAAAATCTGCTGGACCCTGAGGCCCCAAATTAACCCCACACCCCAAACGCCTGAACTCCTGAACCCCCGAACCCGAAACCCCAGACCCACAGAGCCTTGAAACCCCTAAACTTAAACACCTGAACCCTAGACCCTGAAAACCCCCAGGTTTAGGGAACTCTTTTTTTTTGCATCAGTTTAGGGAACCCTAAACCCTAAACCCTAAAACCCCTCGGAACAAAATAAACCCCTCTCGGAAGGTGCATCTCGGCTGGCGCACCCCAGTCAGGTGCTGCCGGGGCATTCTCGACGCGTAGAGACCACTACCTTCAAGCTTTGCAGGTGCTGCCGGGGCCTTTTGGATCTTTGGGACTTTGAGGCTTAGGGTTTTGAAGTTTGGGGTATGTGGGGGTTTCCAACAATAGGGGACCCTAATATAGTACCCTAAATGATAGGATCCCTATTATAAGGACCCAAAATAGGGTACCCTAATTTTCGGAACTCCCATGTGGCTCTTTTGCTTTTTGAGGATGCTGTGGGGTGCAAGAGCAGCAGGATCCGGGGCTGAAGGCTGTTGGTGCGGAAGGTTTCGGGCATGGGCTCGCCATTCGTAGCTGAAACTACTGGCTGAGATATAGTATGATTTACTTACTTTACTATGCAATATTGTACAAACCTTAGTTCGGGCTCTCCACAGGAATCTCAGCGAGCCTATCGGTAGGCCGTGGCACTGTGATCCAGACATGACTCCAATTGAAATCCTACAACCACTCCTAACACCGAGGCGGTTACTGCACAAGTATAATTCCAAGCAGGGAGCGGGGTCAGTAGGGAGTAGGGTTTTGGGTTTAGGGTTTAGGGTCAGGAATCGAAGCACTGGCAACAAGGCAGGACAGCACCGTCAAGGGCCCCGCCGCAAAGCATGATGCAGATTGAGACCATCATTCCCGTATTCACCTGGCTGGGGCGCTAGACGAAGTATGGCCGGTGAAGCTCAGATCATTGCCTTCAGTTTGAGCACACCTTAGTCAGCTCTAGACTCCCAAGACGACTAACTACCCTAAAAACTACGGTGCCATTTGTCTGCAATCCTTCCTTGGCAGTGAAGGATCGACAACACAGCGAAGGAGTGCGTGCTTTCTGTCAATCTGCGCATGCACATCACGCATACATGTGTGTATCCATATCTCCAAGTTTCACTATACATTTTCGCATCAGGGCTTGTGCAATCGCCTGAATGTCTCACTATAGGTAAAACTCTATACGAGTGACATATGGAACGTGACGCTTCATTGACTGGTTGATCGCTTGGTCGACTGTTCGGGACACCACTGCAAAGCTTTGTGCGAGGCGCAGCCAGGAAGCCCGCCAGGAAGCCCAAACATCTAAACCAGTCCCAACTCATCCCAACCCTTGAAACCCCTGAAGCTCCTTGAACTATAACGACCCTAATGCGCAAACACCAGGTACAGCCACTGGACCTCTGCACTCAACGCTTCAAGTAAACCTGAGCGGTCAAAACCACAGTCCAGAAACCGAAAAAGAGCTTAAACACTGCTGAGTCACTGAGCCCCCGCAGCAAACAAAAACCATACACAAAACACATTCTGAAACGCATGGCTACCTGCAGAGGCTGCGGGTAGAAGCTCTCCACTGCCAGGCCAGCCACCTGGGCCCGGCTTGGATCTTTCCCTTGGGCTGCTTGCCTTTGTTCCGGCAGGGTATGGGGCCTGGGGTTTTCGGGTTTGGGGTTTCTGCCTCCTGGATTGGGGTTTCGGGTTTCGGGCTTGGGATTGAAATTCTGGGGTCAGGGTTTTGGCTGCTGCTGCAAAGTTGTGCTTCACAGCTGAAGGGTTTTGAGCCGTGGGTTGCAGAAAGATCCTGGGGGGCAGCCGGGAGCTTCGAACCCTTCTACCCCTCCAGACAAGGGTGGTATTCAAGTGTCGCTGGCTTTTTGACACTCACACTTGGTACACTTCTCGATTTGTGCTGGCTTTTAGGGGTCGGGGATTCAAGAGTTGAGTTTCGGGCCGAGGGTGTAGGGCTCAAGCTCGTTTGGGCTGGGCGCTTGCGGCCGACGATGACGACATCACTTTATATATATATATATATATATATATAATATATCTTGTATGAGTTTTCGATTATATATATATATATATCTATAATTATATAATGATAATGATAGTGACTGGAACGATAAGGAGGACTTACTTGACACCAAGATCAACTGAGTGCTACTCTAGCACCAACCTGCCTGGCCACTGCGCGTCTCGCCTTCCCTGTGGAGGAGTATCCCCAAAAAGTCCCTGTATACTACTGTAATATCCTCCCAAGGCCCTGTTCTAACGATCAAGGCCCCTGTTTTTGTTCGTCTGCTTTGAGTCTTTCCAGCAGAGGCCTCCTGTTGCCCCTGCGGCCTGGAGAGGGAGCGTGCGACAGCCCCAGTGCCTTCGGGGGCTTTGCCTCCTGGAGTCCACTTCGCATCTGTCCTTCTGGGAAGGCTTTACCTAAAGCTTCCTGCCTCATTGAAATTCCGGGAATTTGATTCCGGTTTAAGGTTTCAAGCTCAGGAATATACCCCGAAGCCCTGTAACTCGACAAGGCTAGCAGGGAATACCATCACCAACACACCCTTTGCACGGAATGTTATCGCTCGTAGTTCCTACTTGGTCCTGCTTATTCAGACCCCATGTTGTATTCGCATGCTTCCAGGATGGCAGTTTGCGTTTCCTCCGAGTCATCGCTCAAGCAAAACTGGCGGAACTTCCGACTCCGAAAATATGACCCTACAAACCCTAAACCCAAAGCTTAAACTTAAACCGCTCACGCGGGATCCTAACCCTGGACCCACAACTCGAACACGACCAGGGATCCGAAATCATCTTCGGAGAGTTAGGGCCTCCGGCGTTTCGGGATTGAAGGGTGCTCGCACTCGGATTGAAGGGTGTAGACGCTCGGAGGGGTAGGGAGGGGGGTTTAAAAGTCTTGGTGCTTGGGGACTGAAGATTTTGGGTATTGGGCCTGGTGGGGAAGGCATCGACCAAAGGCATCCGTGCTGGGCATCGACACGCTCGAGCCTTCAACGCGAGAGGCCGCGTTGAAGCTACGAAATTGGCATTGCAAAATCCTATGGACAGCGCATGTCGCAGAGTTCCTTCATACGCCCTACGACAGCTTAAACGAGAGCATGTCCCAGAGACTCCAAAAATCTCTTAACTCAGAGATAGCTCCTTTAATGGATCGTGAATCAAGGGGGTGTCCCCAAGTCCCACGACTGGTCCTCACAAACAAGAACCCTCAGGGGGATATTTGGAGTCTCTGGCTCCGGATAGGTCAATTAAACCAAGGAAAGATGTTGCACCGGCTTCGATTTTGCACAAACTATATCTGGCTTTTTCGAGTTGGAACCACTGATAGAGGAGTCACGTGATCGCACGTAGAATCCTTAGGGAATTCGGAGAGCACCCCCACAGGTATCCTCTGCCCTAATAAAGCCTGCGTCCTGGCCCTAAACTTCCCAAACCCTAAGGCCAAAGACCCCTGGGCCCTCAAGTGAGGACCTCCCTATCCGGAGAGCGACGGCATGCATCGCCTGGTGCTTCAGGCGACATCCATGGGCGCCTCAACATAGACCAGGTCATCCGATTCCTGGTAGTCTTTAAAGCTTCTGGTGAAGTGAGGGGGGGGGGGTCAGGGGGTTTAGAGCGGAGTCTAGGATTCGGGGTGTAAGCTGTGAGGTCGGGGACTCAGGAGATTGGGGCTTGCTTCGGGATGAAGGGTCTCTTGTCTTGAGGCTTCGGGTTCGGATGTTGAGTTCAGGGCACATGAGCAGTATCCTCACCATCATGACCCACATCGTCGTCATCATCATCTTCGAGGTTTTGACAGTCACAGATACACTCGTTTGGGGGTGGGGTGTTGAAGCCACGCCAGGCGAGGGCGGCTCCACAGGAATGTCATCGAGCGTTCGACCATGTTGCCCCAGGCTGCTGCCGTTTCGAAGTGTCGCGGTTCTGTTGGTTCAGGGTTCTCGCTTTCGGGCTCTTCGCTAAGCCGCTGCGTTTTCTCGGACAAGCTACGTGGGGGTGGAACCGCCCAGCGAGCCAAACCTCAACAGCTGGCCACGGCGCAGGAGTTTGTTGACACTTTCCGGTCAAGCGTACCTACAGTCTCCAGAGGAATTCCTTTTTGGGGGTATCTCATAAAATCCTCACTGTATACAATTGGTTTAAACCAAAAAAAGGAACTACAATGGAGACTATAATTTTTTTGGTAGGGTACAGTGCCGCCCCCCTCTTGGAGCCCAGTCCTGCAGAGCTTGGTGCTGCCGACGAAGGCGGAGAAGGCCGGCGACGAAGGAGCCCGCCGCGAGGGTCGCAGCCACAAAGAGGAAGGGCGATGGAGTCGGAACTGCTGCCAACTCGGCCGGTGCCGTGGCTTGCTCCTCTCTGGCTGCGTGTTCTCTTACTCTCTCTCTCTCTCTCTCACATTCGCTCTCATCTGACTCTCTCTTCTTCCACTGGACATGAAGGACTGTTTAGGTCCCGCGGCTGCTTGGGCCCCGCATGTGTTATGGGGCTTGAAGGAGACCATGAAAACATCACACAGGTTTCATATTGGTGAGATGTGTCAAGTTGCTTGGAGTCTGACTCTCACCCTCTCTCTCTCTGTCTTTCAGGGGCTCCTCCTTCTTCTCCTTCTCTTCCCTTTCCTTCTCCGCCTGCTCCTCCTTCTGCTCCTCCTCCCGCTCTTGGCGGTCCTGCTTTGCTTCGGCCTCCAACTCCTGACGCAGGTGCTCCTGCTCTGCCGCCAACTCCTTGCGCAGGCTCTCGCGCTCGGAGGCGAGCTCGTCATGGAGCCGCTGCTTCTCTGCATCCAGCTCTGCAGTCTCCTTCACCTCCGGCTCACCGACCAGCAACGCAGCGCCCGAGCGCTCGTCTTCCTTCGCCGCGGCGGCTTTGGCGGCGGCCCTAGCGGCCGCCTGCTTTGCTTCGGCCGCGAGCTCCTTGCGCAGCCGGGCGTGCTCCGATGCGAGCTCTGCATGGAGGCTGGCCCTCTCCGACGACAGCTCCTGCTGCAAGCGCTGCTTCTCATGCTGGCGCTCGAGCTGCTCGCGCTGGCGCTCAGACATCTCCTGCGGCTCTGCCTTGTCCTTCTCTGACGCCTCAGAACCCTTGTGCTCAGAGTCTGAACTCTTTTGCTCAGAGTCTGCGTGGTTCTGCTTAGGGGCACTGGACCTGGAGCCGGAGGCATCCGCCACCAAAAGTGCAGGGTTTCCCTGGGCGCCCTGACCACTGTTCCCTTGCATGTACTTCGCGTAGCCCTTCATGTACTGCTGGTAGTCCCCTCCCTGCCAGCCATGGTTCTGAGGGTCAACTGGGTTCAAGACTACGTGAAGCAGAGTAATACATCACCCCCGATGCATTATATAACGCTCTCCAGATTGGCAATCCCTGCTCACAACCCAAAAAAGCATGTGCAGACAGCGACACGCCAACGATTAATTCTCATCAAAAACTGGACGATGCGTTTGGGGGCCTGATGCCTCAGGCGTAGCCAAGCTGCCTGGCTTACGTGTGTGCTGCGTTCGTTCGATGTTGCCAAGTTGTTCTATCCATGATAGCTTTGTTTCGGTCGGCGGAAAAGTCGGCAACCAGAACGACTGAATCAGAAACCAGGTATGTTTCAGAAACCAGACGGCTGAATGAGAAACACGGCTGAATCGGAAACCAAAAACGACTGACTCGGAAACCACAACATGATTCGGAAACCAGAACCACTGATTCGGAAACCAGAAACCAGACGGCTGAATTTTAAAAGTGTTAGGACGGAACCAGACGCATCGGAAACCAGAAGCCGTGATTCGGGAACAGCTGCCAAGAAAATTGCGGACCCAAGGGCCGGGCAGGGCTGACCTCTCAACGCTTCACTAGATTGTACAAGCTTAAGTAAATGTAAAGTTACAGCGATTGTCGTTCGGCCTTACGAACTGAGGCCACACTCCTTTCTAAAAGGAGTACGCCACCAACAGCGGGTGCCGCTGCGTGCTCGAACACGAAGCTTCATGCTCTTTTGGTTCACTCACCCTTTAGAGTCCGAATGCATCAGACCATGGTTCCCTTGGATGCCCTGGTGCGCCCGTTCAGAATGCATCAGACCATAAACTCACGGCTACTATGAATGATCTGTTGAGCTGCACTGGCCCACGGACGTTATCATTCTCCCCCAACCGCCCCCCCCCCATGGAGCCGGAATGCATGAGAGCATGGCATCATGGTTGGGCCATGGATGCTCTGTTGACCCCTGGGTGCTTTGTGCTCAGAATGCATTAGACCATGGACGTTAGCACACAACGGCCCCCCCTCCGAATCATGGTTGGCCCATGAATGCTCTGTTGGGCCCTGGGTGCTTTGTGCTCAGAATGCATTACACAATCTTAGCATGCCCCACCCATGTCCCGCGCCAAGTTTCCAAACTCTAGTTTCTGACACGCGCCTCCAGTTTCTGATGCGTGCCGGTTTCTGACGCGCCGGTTCGCTGGTTGCTGATGTGCAGTTTCTGATGCGCAGTTGCTGATACGCGCCTTCAGTTTCTGATGCGCCCGGGTTTTTGATGCGCCGGTTCAATGGGTGCTGATGCGCAGTTTCTGACGAGCAGGTACTGTATGCACCCTGTGCTCAGACGATTCTATTCACGAATCCTGAAGTAGCCTGTGGCCCTTGCACCGACCTTTATACTCTTCATTCTGCATCTGCAGATTCGGGACCAATTAAAACTGCACGCTTTCAATGCTGATCCTCACGACACGACGCAGCAACAGTCAGGGCTGGATTTGCTTCGGGCCTGACTCTCAGATTTTGTCTAAAATTTGGAAGCCATACACAAGCTTTGAAACCTGGTTTCAACTGTCGATGTTACCATGCTTGTTACTCGAGACAACCCTGATTGAAAAGATGCCTACTTACACCCCAAACTGCTCACTGTTGCCTCTGAACCCTCCTGACCAAGTAACTTTGCCGCATGATTTACTTATAACGAAAGAGCAATCGGACGTTTGCGTTCTAGTTTCAGTTTCGGTTCTTGTTTCCTGCATTCCTTGCAAACACAACAGCCGAACAGACGATCGCGCCTGGGAGCCCTGCCCCTGCATGTATTTGCTGTAGTCGCCACCGTAGGACTGCATATACTTCTGGTAGTCTCCGGCCTGCAAGAGTCCATGGACCGGCGAGGTTCACATCTTTTGGGTGAAAAAGGGAAGTGAAAGAAGCCAGGAAGCAAGGGTCTCAGCTCTATCACATGTACGATTTACTGCCTGCACCCTTTGCTCTCACGATTCTATTCACGAATCCTGAAGTAGCCTGTGGCCCTTCAACCAACCTTTATACTCTTCATTCTGCATCGCTTTCAATGCTGACCCTCACGACACGACGCAGCAACAGTCAGGGCTGGATTTGCTTGGGGCCTGGAGGCTCAGACTTAGTCTAGAGTTTGGAAGCCATACACAAGCGTTGGGGCATGGCTGCAACTGTCGATGTTACCAGGCTTGTTCCTCGAGACCTCGAGACAACCCTGATGCAAAAGATGCCTGCTTACACACCCAACTGCTCACTGTTGCCTCTGAACCTTCCTGACCACAGTAACTTTGCCGCATGATTTACTTATAACGAAAGTACAATCGGACGTTTGCGGTCTAATTTCAGTTTCGGTTCTTGTTTCCTGCATTCCTTGCAAACACAACAGCCGAACAGACGATCGCGCCTGGGAGCCCTGCCCCTGCATGTATTTGCTGTAGTCGCCACCGTAGGACTGCATATACTTCTGGTAGTCTCCGGCCTGCAAGAGTCCATGGACCGGCGAGGTTCACATCTTTTGGGTGAAAAAGGGAAGTGAAAGAAGCCAGGAAGCAAGGGTCTCAGCTCTATCACATGTACGATTTACTGCTTGCACCCGTTGCTCAGACGATTCTATTCACGAATCCTGAAGTAGCCTGTGGCCCTTCAACCAAACTTTATACTCTTCATGCTGCATCTGCAAATTCGGGACCCAATTAAAACTGCACGCTTTCAATGCTGATCCTCACGACACGACGCAAAAACAGTCAGGGCTGTATTTTGTTTGGGGCCTGGAGGCTCAG